CAGCCCGTGTATACGACTCTCTCCAGACCGTAGGGAACGGGGAACGGTGACCGAAGCAGCGACGGAAAGGCTCCAAAGAATCAGCACAGGCAGAAGAGCCTCCGAACTCCGAGGTCACTCAGTGCCATCCAGCCACCAGAATCCACTGAGAATACAGAAGTGCCTTTCTTGACCCCGGCTATCGCTGGCTCACCCGCCTAGAGGAAGGTTTTTTGTCCTTTCGCCCTTTACCAATTTCACGCAGGCCACGCGACTGGCTTGTGACACCTTATTGGCCTTCTAGATGAGGAGGGATTCTAGACATGGAGTGACTGGTCCATGGTGGGTTTTGTTGTGCGCACCCTGGACCGTACAATGAGAGAGACTGTCCTTTCCTTCCCCTCCCCAAACTGCTCCAGGGAGTCAGCAAGTGTTTCCAACAGGCCACAACGGCCAACACTTTGTCACCTGCTGTGGGTGAAGGGTGGTTGCTCAGCCTTGGTGAACATGTTATGGGAGGAGTAGTAGGGAGGACGGCATGGCCGGCTTCCTTGCGATCAGCGTTGTGCAGCAGTCCTGCCTAAGATTCACACATGCACGAATCTTGAACCCCGTTGGAAGACCAACCTACGCTTGCTTCCTTGCTGATTTCCACAGCTGCATCCCAGCTTTTCTCCCCACCTCTTCTCTCCATCCTCTCTCTGTTTAATCCCACTCTCTTTCCTGCATGGAGATTTTAAAGCTTGCCTGAACAACACGTAGGACTCGGGAACCGCATTGTCAGTCGTAGTGTTACACGTATCACAGCCTGTGTGCGCATGCGTGTTCACGTATGGAGGTGCAGGAGAGGTGGGAAAGGGCCAGTGAATCATTAAGGTGCTGTGGGCGAATCCTCCTTTTTTACAATTATTCTATATCATTCATTCATTCGTGTCTGGCATTTCTAGCATCTCAGTCTTTTCTAACCTCTTCAGTATCCCAAGCAACCTCTGAGAAAACTTGGTCCTTGCTCTTCCATGTCTGACTGTGCCTGCCTGAAACGAAGAGGCACCAAGAAAGCTACTATGCACTTGCCAACACCCCGACTTGATTCCAATATTCTCTTTGAACCCCTACTCCAAACTCAGGCTGATGGGGTGTGCACCCCCTCTCGTTTGTTCATCATGTCTTCCAGTCAACACCTCCCTCCTACCTATGCTGAGGATGGAAAGATACTCCTGTGTCTTTAAGCAAGGTGAATACGCACCCAATCTTGGATGAGTGTAAAGAAAAGAACCCTATTTTGGTGCAAAGGAATTTGTTTTCCCCTTCGGTTTTCAAACTGGAAGCAACCTGCTCTCGCAGTCAGATCAACCTCCTTTTTTCAGCCCAACACCTGAGGACAGTCTGCTTACTTCTCCTTCGTCACCTCCAGGACTGGGGTGGTTTGTCATGCCAGGGAGTGAACTGGCACAAAAGTTGCTGCAGGAAAAGATGACTCCTGGCAATTGATCGCAGAGACATGTCGTGGGACCTTCCAATGGATATTCCAGTCTAGAAAGATAAAATACTTTGACCAAACGTGGACTGTGATCGGTGCCGCTGTACCCCTCTGCTGATATGACTGTCAGATGCCCTTCCTGCCTCCCTTAGCTACGGATGACTTATCCTTGTGGTGTCTGAAAAGATCACGTAGAATGTTTGCTCCTTGTACGCATGTAACCTCTTCCAGCCCTGTCCCCTTATTTATGCAAGTAGCACCTTCCTCCCCCACCTCCCTTTCCCCAGTCTCTATGCTGTCCTAGCACCATTAACTCTGCATTAAACATATGAAATAATAAACTTAAAAGTTTCATTTTCACCTGCCTGTGGTTTTTTGACCTCTTCCCTGCAAGTCTCTTGTTTTTTCTCCCAGTTAAGTGTATGATCGCTCACATCACCACCACACGGATCCCGTGCACAGCCTTCCCCTGCTTGTCATGAAGAGGACACAGGCAGACCTCTGAGTGGCTTACCAAGACTCCTTCGCAGAGGTGAAACTCATCTCCTGTTCACACCCCAGCTCCAGGCATTTCTTCAGTGAGAAATGTAGTAACACTCACTTCTGTTCTTCAGCTAAGATTCAGCACGTGCAATTAAGAGTACTGTTTTGCATGTGCTTCACCCAAGAATTTCTTAGTGCGATTGTTAATGCTCTCCAGAATAGGAGCGTGGGGTTTCTCGTCTTGGTTCATCATCACCAGGTGGCATACCTTAAAAAAAAAACAACTTCCACACATCCACAGACTTGTGTATTTTGGAAGCAACCATTAGTTTCTCTGTAGAAACTCAAACCCCCGGGCCTCTTGCCTTCCACAAGCAAGAACCTAAATGCAAACACTCACACACAGACAGTATATTCAAGAATAGATGTATACACCACCTTATTTGTTGCAGAAGTTATCCCGGGTGTAGTCAGGTCCTGGGAGGCCATCTGAAGATGTTTGGAAAGAAAATGTACAGCAGACATCAGTCTGCTTAAGAACATCTCTCAAGTCCAATGGTAGCAAGGTAGGATCCCAATTAACACAGAGATTCCACAACAATTACAAATTGATTCCAAAGGGTTTCAGTGCTGACGCATGTGATTGATCCAGTGAGTTTGTGGTCAGTAAACGCTTTATGGGTGAGTAGAGTAAGCAGGATGTCTAGGAACTGGGGAATACGTTCAAAGCTTTTTAAAACTCACAGCAGTATTTGGATGAAGTCCTGTTCCTGTATAGGGCCAAGAGCATCAGCAGCAGCAGGACTTAATGGATCTAACAATGGTGATGCCAGCTAAGGAGGTCCATGAAAAATAGGACTGTAGCCGTTCACTGGAGAGGAGAAATCTCTACCCCAAATTACAGGCTGCGGGAGGAGTTCAGAAGGGAACTACCGCACTGCTGAGCAGGTCAGAAGCATGTGTGGGGAAGAAGGGAAGCCACGATGGAGTTAGGGGTAGGAGAGCAGATCACAGGGGTGGGAGAGAGAAGGGACATGGTGTGGACAAACAGGAGAGCAGGAAAAGAAAGTTCGTAACCACACACAAGTACCCTTCTCCAGCTCTTCAAAAAGCAAATTAAGAAAGCAAGAGGGCTCTGCCTCAATCATTCTCTAGTGGAAGGGGGTGCCTTCTCTCATCTAGGAGGGTCCTCACAACTAAGACAGGACTAAGAATGCCGGTGGTAACAGAGGGGTTAACCACTCCTCCTGCAGCCTGGCAGGAGCTGGCCAGGCATCCTTCCCTATCCCTTTAATCGTATCTGATACAGATGCAAGGCTGGGGAGGGGAGGCGGGTAGGGAACAAAGAAGCCATTTAAAAAAAAAAAGAAAAAAAAAAAGACAAGAAAACGACCCCCGCGCTCTATGGCGGACGCCAAAACGATTGCACAAAGGCACCATTTCAGGGCTGAAATTTCACCGCACCAATGTGATTAAAGGATTCCATGGAGGGTGGGGGGAGAAGGCTGAAGGCCACAGTGCTGCGAATTAACCTTTTCTTAGTAGGGATGGCCTGGACCAGGAAGCATTTGTGTTCCTCACAGTCGATCCCCTTCCCACACCTGCAAGCATCTCCACATTCCCTTTGACCTGTCATTTTGCCCAAGGACTCATTCGGCTCTTGCATTATTGCCTCCAAAACCAGCCCCTCCTGTGCAGACCAACAGAGGAAGGATAGACTGGTGCTTTTATAGGGAGCAGTAAGAGAATAACATTCATGGTTGGTTATATGAGCCGAGTTCCCAGGCAGGTGGATATAAACTCCCTTTGGGACATGGATGCTCATGTGTCAGCACCGACCACACATACAGCATGGAGAATGCACGCTTTATATATAAGCTTAGGCTTCAACACAAACTAGTTGGAAATATTCTTCCGAGACCAGCGTAAAGAGAAAAATTAATGTAAAGCAGAAACCATAGATGAGGTGCACCTTCCCCCTTCTTCTCTTTAAAAAAAGAAAACAGAAATTACAAGAGCACTTTTTAATAAGATAATTGAAAAGGACTCGGTGTGTTCTTCCTTATGCAGAACAAGAGCCTTGCAGCACACAGATCAAGAAATGAAAACTAGGCAGTGGCTGGCTGGAAGCCCCTGCAGATTGTAATGCATCCACCCAACTCTTGACTTGAGCATGCAACATCCCTGCACATCAGAGGCAAGAGTGCAGGTACCTGAAGGGGACAAATGACAGATCTTTCATCACACTACGGATTAAAGGAACCCTAGGATTTAACTACTGTTGTGCCACCAGAAGAACCACCAGAGTATGTACAACTGAGATGGCTGGAGTGCACCCACACCCCCAGGACCATCAGTTCCACCGTGTGTCAGAGAACGGCTGTACGAGGAACAAACACGGCAACAACCTACAACTGCCGAGCTGGTGGGACTGCGAGTGGCGACTGCGCTTCCGGCTGGGACAGTGCCACTGAAAGGGGATCCCCACTTCTGATAAGCAGCAGGAGCAGGGAAACAATAGGTGATTTGATGAGAGCTGCTCTACGATACTCCTGAGAAGCCCCACAGCCAGCTCAGGCCAGAGAGGAAATTGGGGGTTTCCACAGCAACCTGCTCAGGGCACAAAGGCCCCACTGTCCAGGGGGAAGCAATGGAGGTGTCTCAGCACTCTCGTTTTAAGAAGGGACAGGAGTGGAGGGCTGGAGTCTTTCTGAAGCCAAAGTACCTGCAAGAGCATTTTTGTACAGCAGGAGTTTAATGGGGTATCAGTCCTATAATCAGGGAGGAGCAGTCCTGGAGGAGGAGGAAGTAGTTGTTACTGCAGTCTTTGGCGTAGCTAAAAGGTAGGGCTTTCGCAGGTGAAAAAAAGCTGCAAGAAAAGCATCGCACTTGGCTCCCTGATCTTACTAATACAGCCCACGAGACAAAAAGAAAGAATAATGACCAAGCTGGTAGAGAGAAGTAAGAAAATCTTCTCTTGGGCATGTAGGACTGAGATGAAAGAGAACGTGGGAGGAAGAAAAAAAAACCCGAACACATTTAACTTAAAATGGGGAGGTTTATAATTTATTTACACAAACATAAACAAAAATAGAAACATCTCTGGAGACGGACAGAACTGAAACAATGGCTGGCAGCTGATCAGTCCGTGATAATTAACTCATCCACACCCCAGTCTTCATAGCTCCCATCTGGTAGGTAACGACGGATGATTATGGGGATCTTGCGTGCTCTGAAGGGAGGATAGAGAGGTGAACAGAAATGCCAGAGCCTTCACTATACCACTTCAGCAGGCAACGGGAACTGAGATGCTTAGTGGCTTCAGTAAGCTCATCAGATTTAACTGAGAGATCTGTGTACCACCAGTGACTTGGTATAATATAGTAGGGGGAAGTCCCAACAACCTTCTCTCTTTCATGGAAGCACTGAGCACCCTTAGACTCGAAACAACCAAAGACGTACAGAAGATCAGCCCTTTGTTGCTACTGCAGGAATTGAGCCCTGTGATCTGAACCCACCAGGAGACAACACCGAGCATCTAACACAGATATTTGGGGGGCGGGGGGGAAATTGGGACTTGAAGAACAAATCCTCTTTTTTGTTTAATGGAAGATTTTTCCCCACAAGACACTACAACAGTGGCAGAATTCTGAGAACCTTCACGACAAGCTATTTAAAAAGTATTTTGCACCCTGAGAGCATCAGTTACATTTCAAGAAGGATGCAAGAAACAGGAACTACGCAGGTACCCAAACTTGGTACAGCTGGGGCAGAGCACAGCATCTGCCAACAGCGCCTCCAATTAGAAAGCAAGAAAATGCTGAACAAAATTTAACTTAATGGAAGTAGATTTAAGTCAGCACAACATAATCAGACAGTCTGGAATCTAACCAGGGCATCAGGTGTCAACCGTATCAGACCTGAAAACTAATACAACTTCTTTAATGATCACATTCATGGCTGTTGTTTTTCCAGTAGCAAAGTAGGTCCCTCATGCCAAGAACTGCAACTGAATTTTGGCACAGAACAGGATGCCACTGTATTTTGTCACACCCTGAGTTAGTTTCTAGAGCTCATGCTCAGACAGCGACCAGAAGCAACTTGGACTGAGCTTGGAGACCCGATAGGAACATGACCTAAGGAACTTCTGGCACTGATAAAGGGAACTGTAATGGATTTAAAATCTGCAAAAACAACTGCAATGCACTGAGAAACTGGGGAAGTAGAGGGACAATTCAGTTCAAGAACAGGGACTTAATCAGTAACCGAGTCCAGTTGCTCTGCTTGAAGGATACCTGCATGTGATCTGGGTCACCAACCACACAGGCAAGCTGTAGGCTAGCAGCGAGCTCTGCTGTATGAAGGTGGGCGTAAGTGGTTGTCCAAAAGCTGCCCCTGCTACAGTCAGAAAGGATAACGATTCTATGATTTATCTATCTTTCTGTAAGCAGGGGACATGCCACACCACAAGCACAGTAAGCCAAGTGTGCAAGGGTGCGGGAAAAGAATATTCTTAACAGGGTCTCCACACCACCAGCCTGACCCTTGTTTTACTTTTTGCCAGCACTTCACTTGAACACAGGTCTGTTCGGATGGCTGCTTCAAATCAGTTCCATTCAGGGAATTAAACTGACTCCAGAAAAATGAGGACCTTGGGTTCTTCATCATAGAAGTAAAGAACACTTGGCCTCTGAAGCAAAAGAGGTCAGAGCACTCCTAATCATCAGTACTTTGCACGAGCAACTAGGATGGGAGAGAGCAGCTGCGGAGAAGTCCCAAGGTGAAAAAGGGGAAGCCAACTGTAGCACTTACTGTTACCGAGGGAAGACAAGGTGGTCTTGGAATAAGCTGCTGATTGTTGGGACGAGGAGAGGACTGCTAGCTTTATGGAAATCAATACGCTCACCACCAAAGTCTGGGACTTACTTGAGCTCTTTCATGGCAATCAGCAAGGGGTCTGTCTCTCCTTCCAACTCCACCATCACAGGGGCACACATCCTGGGACAGAACATCAACAATCACTTGAATGAACGCACAGAGAGGGAAGAGGGACAGCTAAACACGTGCCTACCTATGTCATCTGGACAGCGGTGGCTAAAGTAGGGGGGTGCGACACCACCTTGGCAAATCTGATTTGCTCTCTTATGCACTTCAGGAAGAAAATTTCCCCAAGTGGTTAGAGACTGAGCTTTTACTTGAATGTTCTTTTTGCCCCATCCCTCAGCCTCTGCTGACCAGCTGGTGCTCAAGGGTTGGTCAGATCCACACCCTTCTAATCACCCTCTGCTGTACTTAAACATGAGGAAAAGAGTGGTTCTACAACGAATCCAATGAAAACGGTGGACATACTGCAAAATGAGCATGCCTCCTACAACTCCAGCACATCCCTTACGTTCTGATTTGCTAACACCTTCCAGGCTTTGTTTGAGGGGAAGCGAGGGGCTGGATTTACAATACACTCAACCTCTAGGAAGAAAAAATTAAGTATTTTGCAGAGGGATGTAATAGCAGAGAAGACACGGGTGACGATATCCACCCATTAGACCGCAGCAGCACAGAAAGTTCCCGTTATGTGTGGATAAGGCCATGGGGGGTTGTTGCTGGCCTAGGTTCAGCACTGAAGGCAGAATATGTAGGTGAAACAGAACCAGGTGCCAGAGTGTTTTGGATTAAAGGCCTGGCATGGATCCACCTCATTTCCCCCATTTTTCTGGCCTTCCGCCATTTGAAAGAATGTGCACAAAATAGCTTCACAGAGCAAACACTGTGCAAAGAATAGCTTGGCAAAGCAATGATTAAGGAAAATCTGATCACCACCTACAAACTTCTAAATGATGTAGAGGAGAGGCATCATTTTGAAGGCGGATATAACCAAAATAAAACTCAGACATGTGCTTTCAGACAAACCTTGCTACAGCCTAATAATCTCGCTCATAAGGCTTTTTTTCAAAAAGCACAAAACTTTTTGATATATATTATTAAAACAAGTCTAGATAGGTAAATGGATGAAGTTGAGAGCAGCCAGCCTTAACAGCACTTAAAACAGGATTTAAGTGTTATTACCCATTATAAATGAGGCCTTACTAGTCAAAATACTTTTAAAAACTTACAGCTTGCCACAGCGCAACTGCACTTAAAACAGATTTCAGGTCCATTACTCCATTCCCAATTCCTACAGCCCTGTGGTATCAACTGAAGACAGTCTGGAGCACCCCTCCCTCCAATGTTGGCTTTTGCGAACGAGCTCTGAGCTTTTGAGCCCACACCAGCTCCCTTATGGAAGACAGAAACCAAGATCAGCTTGTCACAGACCCTACTCATTTTGCCTGTAAGACAAATGAACCTAGGAAAGTTCATTGCAGCTGCTGAACGCCCCCCTCTCTAGGCACAAGTACCACAGTCTCAGCCAAGGAGAGACACAAAAGCTTCACATGCAACAAAGAGCTCCGTGGTCTTGTGCTTCAGCATTGACCAAGACGGTGATCTGCAAGCTCAGCAGTCGTGTAAGGCATTACACGAGATCCAAAAGTTTTTAAGGAAAAAGGAAAGCAGCTTTCACTGGGAAGCAAAGAAAAGCTGTGGCAACACTCAGGATGCAGAGCGAAATACTCACGCTATCTGAAGGGCGCGAGTGCCCAGGACTCTGGCTCGCTCATATTTGGTCATGTAGGGGGTAGTGATCCGCTTCTGGTTCGCCTGCTGCCTCTCTCCCGAGGGAAGGATTTCCACGTTCTCCTGTCCCTCCTAGGGAAAGCAGATCAGCGCTGCAGCTCAGCTGCACCCACCACCAAGGCCCTGCGGTGCTGGGAAAAAGAGAGCCCCTGAGGCCTCCCCACCCCCAGCTCGACCGCCCAGCCAGGCCGCAACACAGGCCTGCGGCACCCACCTCCTCCGCGTTCTCCAGGTCCTCCAGGCCCTCATCCTCCTCCACATCGTCGAAATCGTCCCCGTCAAAGCTGTAGGAAGGACACGCACATCAGGGGCCGGGC